ATTGCAATTGGAAACTCTTGTCAAATTCTGGGGTTGCTGCTACAATGGCTTGGTTTCTAATTGTATCTTGTGTTATGTGGTACCAATGCAGACAGACTCGATCACCGTGGGCTCCATCCACAGAATGTACCAAGTTGGCTGATCTCAGCCAAGGCAGCACTCGAGGTGATCCAATCAACTACAACGCCTTTACAAAATGCTCAAGTCTTAACATTGGGTGAGAACAGGATTCGAATGTCATGCCTACTACAGTCAAACTGCCATTCACTGCTGAAGAGAACAAATGAGAAATGGCTATTTGGGCTTGGTTCAGGACAACTGCTACCACGTATGTGACCCAGCGTTCTTCAAGTTAGGAGAGGTGAACATTGACATTAGCTCAGATTTGCTAATTTTCCAGGGTTAGCGTGTGATGGTATGTCACTTACTATGTCTACAGCAAGTAAAAAGACTTGCATTCATATTGTGCCTTTCATGAATTCAGGATATCCCAAAATAATTTACATCCACTGGAGTACTTTCGACTTGTAACGTTGGAATCTCTGTGGCCAACCTGTACTCAGTATAACTCCCACAAACAGCAAATGTGTTAATGATTAGATGCTGTTAAACATTGGCAAGGACATACGGGCAATTCCCTTGCTTTTCTTCTAACTAGTGGCAAGGATCTCAACTTCAATGAAACAGAAACTGCTGGAGAAACTCAGCAGGTCTGGCAGCATCTGTGGCAAGAGAAACAGAGTTAACATTTCGAGTCCACTGAACTTTCTTCAGACTTGTTGAGTTTCTCCAACTGTTTCTGCTTCCGGCTTGCAGCATCCCCAGATGGCACCTTGGTACAGTGAGGCATTCACTCAGTACTGCATTGATGCTGCCTGGATTTTTATATTTAAGTCTCCAGTGAACTTGTGATCTGCTGACACAGTGGCACTCTGCTGATTTTCTAGGCTTCGTACGAAATTGAAAGATATTTTTGTATGGGCTGCTTGAAGCTTCCTGTCATGGCCTTGTGGCTTCTCTCAGCTGGGTGAGTCGCTGTGTGATCTTCCATTGCAGGGCATGTGGTTGAGTGACTCTGTGCATGTGTCTACATATGTAAGTGGGTGTTGGTGCATGGCTGGCGGAAGGAAGTAAAAGGGAACAGTGATATGCATTACTTGTTTCTGGCAGAAAATAAGGAGGTTAAGCTGCAGTTATACTGGGCATTGGTCCGACCGCATTGTGAAAACTGTGAGATAGTAGGAACTGCCAATGCTGGAGAATCTGAGATAACAAGGTGTAGAGCTGGATGAACACAGCAGGCCAGGCAGCATCAGAGGAGCAGGAAAGCTGACGTTTCGGGTCTGGACCCTTCTTCATTTTCTGAAGAAGGGTCCAGACC